CGGTAAACGGGGTAAATTTGAAACGTAAACCATGGTTTTTTTTCCCCAGTGTTTTTTTTTTTTTTTTTTTTCAATCCGGAGAAGAACCGTCGAAAACGTATCACCATGGCAACGATCAGGCATGATCGGTGAATGAAATGGGGCCGAAATGATTTGCGGTCGTGGTTCGATCACGGGTTTATCGATGACGAGTCCTCCCCGAGGGAGAGTTAGCCGTGGGGGGGATGATGTTCCGGGCGAAAGGGGTGTGGCAGTCGATTATTTCGAGGGTTGGCACGCCGACGCAACGATAAGGACTGACCCACATTCCCGTGGATACTTTCTGGCAGGATATCGAGCCTCCTGCAACCGATTCACGACTGTTGTCCTCCTTTTCCGCTGATCGAACGCACTTAGACTCGCTCCACTCGACGTTAGAGAGGCTGGTTTACTCGAAACAATGGGGTCGAGCGGCTGGAAAATCGCTAATTGCTGGTTCGTCGCGTTTGACAGATTTCGATATCTCGTCGGGACCGGTGGTGCTCCAATAATTCGACGAGACAAAGACGTGTTATGTTTGCTCGATGCTCGTCGTTGAGGATTGGTCGCAATTAAGGGGGGATCAAGGATGCAGATAGTTTGGGTTTTGGGCGTGAGTCACAGTTTGTTGCTCTTTAGAATTTATTTGCATGCATGAATTTTGGAGTTTATTTGTATGCGTGAATTTATTTCGAAATCATTAAATCAGTATTAAGACACTGGTAAATACGTACATACCACAGATATATTTACAGAAGACAATTTTTATATTATTTAGAAACTCGTTTTTAGTGGAAGAAAGCAAGAGAATATTATCTTAATTGATGGTTAAGAAGTGGTTAACGCTGTAAGGAATCTTAAACCGTATAGTATGAAGTTCGAAAATTAACTACAAGTAAAAATTACGTTTCCAATAATTAAAATTCCACTAAAGTACATCGAGATTCGAGTATACTAAAGAATCTTAAAATCCACTCATAATAATCAGAAGATTAATCTAATCAAAATTGTTGAAAGCACAAGAAAAACAGCGATATATCTAATAATTATTTCTTTGCGATGCTATCGTTCGTCCCATCGTTTCATTTTCAGTCTTCATCGATAATCCCCAATTCGGAGACGCCGACGAGTGAAAAAAAACAACAGACGTCATTCTTCCCTTGTACGTGTCTAATAATCCGAGTACATGGTATGTACGAATTATCAACGAGGACGAGTCTCGAGTTGCCGCGATAGAAAGGAAGAATGGGAAAAAAAAAAAAAAGTGTAGGACGCTTATGTATAACGCAAGGGTTGAAGAGCCTCTATTATTGTAAAGCAGCGGACGATGAGCTCAGAGATTGCGCTCCAGAGAGATGCATCCCTCCACTGTCCCTTCCTGTTCTCTCTGTGCGCATCTCTCTCTCTCTCCTCTCATTTCCTCCTCTCTTTCACTCGCGTTTTGTCGACGAAATTGCATTTTCCCTTGGTTCAGCGTCGTGGCTCTCCGGTCGGAACGAACACGTATATATATGTATCCACTCGCGCGCAGAGCTTCACAGAGAAAATACGAGCCGATATACAGCAACTGTCATACAGGATGTAACTGGGACATGAATTGCATTTAAAACATCATCGCGGGTTAGAAGGAAAAAAAAAAAAAGAAAGGAAATATTTGAAAGCTGGATCAAATTATTTCGAGTTACACGCCTGAGAGGAGTTGCACTCGAGGGTGAATAGGTAAAAGTTTTCAGTAAGTGAATTTTTGTAAGTGAATTTACAGCGAGTGTGTATTGTATTTTTTTTTTTTTTTTTTTTTTGTACTTTGCACTCGTCGAGCGTCAAGGCTTGTTTTTGTTAATTATTTATTCTTTTATTGTATATTGTTAATTCTAGATCCGTGAGCGAGGAACGATCGTGCATTTAAGGGTTGGTTTTAATTCTGGAAATGTTCTGGATTCTTGTTTTTCTTTCGTGTACGTGCACTTTTTGCTTATTTTGTGAACACCACATTTTGCAAAATTGAGCGTACAGTATCTGTTAAATTATTTATTTTCACTATTAAATAATCTGATAAATTTTCACTACAAACATTAAATTATTTAAATTATTTATTTTTACTATTAAATAATCTGATAAATTTTTACTACAAACATAACGATACATATTTTTTTTTACTACAGATATAACAGTATACATATATTATAGCAAGTTCAAGTTAAATATCAAAACAATTCTTCATCAATCAGTATTCCATCTTATATCTAATACCAAAGTGTTGACCCGTAAAATAATAGTAAAAATAATAGCGAAAAGATCTACAGTTTTCTGTAAGTGAATTTACACAGTTAATGAGAATTTTTATTCTTTATATATCAGTGTGTCAAGGTATTTTTATTAATTATTGTTATTATATATTATGAAAGAAAAAGCCAATAATGCATTTAAAAGTTGGTTTTAATTCTGAATTTGCTATTTTAAGTTTTTTCTTTCGTGTATATTTTTGTTTATTTATCATGAACACTACATTTGACAAAATTCAGAATAAAATATCCATCAAATCACTCACTTTCAATATAAAATAATATGATGAACTTTTTGAACGAGATTGAGAAACAACAAACACATGGTTGTTGTAAATATATAATTTGGTTTTCCCAATTTTTCCATTTAACTCAACGTTTTGCAAATATCCGGAACAAACAAGAGTATTTCTTCTATTTGAGAGAAGATCTGAGAAAATTTATATAATATTTTATGTTATTATCTATATCTATTTTAAATTTCTCCGTTTAATTTTTCGCGAAATTTCATCGAGGATTCAAACGAGACGAGGATGCTCCTTGCGTTTCGAAATCTCGCGAAAGAAGTCTGCTCGCGTCTACGAGCAAACTCAATTAACAGGATATTGCAATTAAGTGTTCGACGCGGAGAACAAAAAAA